AACCAAGGCCTCTCTTCTTTTGCGCATCGGCTGCCATACTCTTTGTAGTGTTCACATCCCCGTCTATTGGACTGTTGTCTTTCTTATCTTACCAGCACCAGATTCTGAGCACGTGAACTTTTTCGGTTCTCATCCACTCCTCTGTTTAACCATACACTACTGTACACTTATTCGGCACCTCTTCTGGTCAATATCGCAAAGCTTCGGGTGAAATACTTAGCACTTGGTGGTGCTATCTGTATTATTCCCTTACCCTTGCTCACTTCCGAAGCCGGCACTACTGTCGCTTTCTCTCTACAGCTTTTGCAAGTATTGCTGTCTGTTCTCTCTCTTATATTCAAAATTGTATACCTATCAGTCGATGCCAAACCTAATAAAGCGTGCCGCTCCTGTATATAAATTAAGCAGGCTGCCAGTAGCACTGCTTAGTGAGTTATAACTAGCAGTCTATTTGGCTTCAAGGTTCCACCGTGGATGTCTACCTTCGAGTGGCACACCTAGCACCTTTTGGGGCTGCTGCACACTCTACTGATAGTCCTGGTCCCTTTCAGCACTGGCTGTACAACCATTTTCTCGCTAAAGCCGTAGTACTCAAGCCCTTCTCGCTCCTGCTGTTATCGTTGAAAGCCTATCAGCGAGCTGTTTCTTCCTCCCTATTAACCCGACTCCCAGTATCGCCCTTTCTTGTCGTCTATTTGACTTGTTTGCCGCAATGTAGAAGTCCCTATCTTTCTCTGCTATTCCAGGTCCTTTTAAGGCTGGCTTTGCATCCGTATTCTCGATACAGCTGTAGTACATAAACCACATTCTCGTCACAAATTTGACACTCAGTCACACTCCTTCAACCAGCTGTTTCTATAGCATCCGATTAATGAACATGTTACATTATTATTTTCCTGGGTCGCATACCCGGCGTAGTAAATCAACTGGCTCTCATACATGTTCGAACGATAAGCTATACCACTGCCAACTGATCGCTCAACCTATATCTTAAGCGCATATTAAGCCACTCACTATTTTCTGATTCCCCCAACGCATTTACCTGTTGACAACGTCTAACACTTACGATTTCCACACAAGACAACTTTTGCATACGCTAGGTCACTTCGGACAGCATTTTTCTCTCACATTCAGCAAATATAGGGTTTCGTGCTTGCACGATAAACTACGAATATGATGTATAACATATTCGGTCATTCCATTGCTTTCAACCAGCACAAGGTGACCATAAATTTTGTATTTATGCAATAACCTAGTCCTGTTCAATTTCCTTGGCCGTTTGCTCGGTCCGTTTTGCTTCTCTCCCTTGTTCTACAGGAGAACAATACATGCACGCAGCAACTCTGAGGACATTCCTGCGACTCTCACCTGGACACGGAATCAACGCCGAACCAAGAAATCACCCGCACTACGCAATCCTGACACATTACCCGAACCCAGAAAACTAGCCAAATCAGTACAAGTCACCTGAGTCGTCCGAATTCAACAGCTCCAACCCCTTGCGGTCGACTCCGAAGGAGACTACACAACCAGGGGAACAAATTGGTGAAAAGTGACTGCGAATATCCGCGAGAGCGATCGGTCAGATGCAAGCTTTTCATTATCATATCACCAGTCGGCAATGTTCTAGGACGTGTTGGGTCTTCTGGGAAGTGCTTTCCGTACAAAAAGCCACAACTGTCTGTTTAAGAATACTGCGACGTGGCGGATGCGACTCGTCACTCAATAAAGTCACCGCCCCTACCACACATTGGCAAGTTGACCGATGCCACATTTACAAATTCTGTGCATATAGCTGCTCTCGTGCGAACACGCCTACATATCTGGTTGGTGACATGCCACTGTTCTGAAATATTTTTTCAGTTTTTCCTCAGGCTTCACTTACCTGACCTGCGCTGTGTACACAAGTTAATCCAACCAGTTTCTCAGCATCATGCTTCACATTAGTGATCTGATTCTTATCTTCGCAACTGGCATTCTGTGGACGTAGACATCGTACAACCTTTGGGACCTATGGGCCCACACTACTGTCTCCAACTGTACTAGACCCGCGCTTGGTGCTGCTAGTGATGCTATCATCTACAGAATTGCAATATTCTGATCATGCCCAAAAAACATGCCTCGCTTTGTCGAGAATAAAATATTTATTTATTTATAAATCGACTATAGAAATTGAGTGGAGTGGTGGGTTACGTGATAAAAAAGCATAAGGATGACACCGAGCGTAGGGGAAGTGATAGGTGGAAAGTTTATGATGCATCATTTGAAGTACTGGAATTGCGACTCTAACATTGAACCGTATTGCATGAAAAATTGAAGTTACCCGCGGTAGTATATGAAGGTATATGCAGGCTCCTCATGGTATGCTGCGTGTCTGATGAAACCATTGTCCATATACACCACAACTTACCCACTCAACTTGGTAGGAGCACTGCGATTCGCCCTCACCCCGCTGCTGCAGCGCACAAACGCCCCTGTTTGCAACCGCCACACCCGTCGTTCTCCTTGTACGCCACGTATTTGTGCGGTGACGATCGGGGGTTGCGGTTTTCAGTTTACGGAATTTTAATCCCATTGACGTGCTGCAGGTAGTAGAAACATCGAACACACTGGGCACCAAAGGTGATTTTCGTTTTTATGCCTGCGGTCTCTCCCATTCCGCTGCGAAACCACAGTCCCAGCCTCTCCGAAAGAGAAGCTTGGCTATATTGGGTATCAGATCTATGCCACTAGTACGAGGCGAGGTACCAAAACCGCACGTTGGTAGCAGCATCTGACGATTCTGCATCCTCTCCTTAGAAGACGAGGAGGTCCTCCCACGATAATCGCTGCAACTGTTCCGAACTGGATGTAAGAATAGAAACTTCCACAGTACTATGCCTCTCCAGCAGCTCCTGAAAGCTTGCCATCAAGCCCATCGCGCGGGTGATTTCTTCCGTGCCCAACCTCATCAACTGGGCCACCATGTCGCCAAACATATCCCGAGCTATGCGCGGTCAAGGAAAAGCTCCCTACGAGATGACACTGCGTGACGGTTAATGTTCCCTACGTATCCTCAGACATGTCCGCCTCTCCAACATTATCCGCTGGCGGCGCCCAACGGCATCTACGAAGAATAACGTCCTCTGCGTAGGCACTTAGGCTAGCAACTTACACCATATGTGCACATGGAATGCGCCACTGCTGATTAACGTGACATTCACAAGCCGCCATTCTCTACAAGCACACGCTGCATGCCCAGGCGCACGACATACACCAGCCAATGCCTGCCTTCCGGGTTAACACTGCGGTTGCCCATTCTTATGCTCTGCCGCACGTATTGCTGACGGGCGTATGAAGGCAGCTTCCACAAAATGAACTGCCCATTGGTGACACGCTGCTCCACGTCGTATTTAGGAGGCTTATCTCTTGAAAGCATTGTTCCACTCCCCACCAAAATACAACTGCGTCGCTACACAATCACCTGAAAAAGTGAAGCAGGATGGCCCGCTCACTGAACCTTTGCTTCAAATGTTTATTCTGCTCTTCAACGTGATTCGTGCTGTCGCACCAAGCAACACCACGTGGCTCAGTAAATGCGCCATCCAGTTAAGCCGACATGGGATTCACGTGTGATGGAGGTACCGGACGCATTAACCGCTGTGCACCGATATACCCTCCGTAAGACGATGATAATGCACACAGTTCTTCGTATACAGCAAAGAAGGCTGCATGTTGAACAGCGCTCTTTTATCCTCCAGGTTAAATAACGGGAGGTGAGCACAACGCCGCTGCATGTCGCGCAGAATGTTCAGCAGGCAGAAACTTAAGTTGGCAGGAGAAACGCAGTGAGAACCGCCTTCAGCTGCGCCGCGCACTTGCCCATAAGCAGCGTCCCCTGGGGCCAACTCCAGCATACTACTCACTGCTGCTTGGTAGCTAGTCTCCATCCCATTCGGCAACACAGCGTAAAAGAAACTGATACCAAGGCCGCTGACGTCTACAAACATGCAATGCCATAAGATATAACGGCCGTAATTTATCCGATATGTGGTGTCCGCCGAACTTACCTCCCTGTATCGGCTCGCCAAATCCAGCATGCAGGAGGTGACGAAATATATGTACCGAATCTCATTATTTCAAGCAGTTTTGTTAGTTGCCCAGTTGCCTGCAAAAGCTGCGTCAACACCTTCCCCTCCTTGACACCAACCTTACGATGACGCCGCAGTATATCTTACAAATCCCGCCTGGTTAAACGGATGTCGTATGGAAAGGACAAAAACGCACGAAACTCCTGCGCCCGATGAAAAGTTTTCAACAACTTGAGTAATATGCTTTCCTGTTCCCTTGTTAGCCGCGGAGTTTTGGCATACCGCCAAGGCTTGCCCACAAGAAAATTGTGCGAGTGACCCAGACAAGCATATTCACCCTTGAATGATACTCACTTCAAAACCACTGAGAACCGAGCATGAAAATCGTAACACCGGTAACTGTTACCTAATTGTCACGTGGATAAAGTACATGCACCGCTTTCTAGTAACATCCGCTCGCTTGCTATGCATGCACATAAATTGAATAGTTTGGTATCGGCAGCCTTCGCGAAGCATCTGCCAGTTTCCCTTTTGTAAGCTTCCGCTGTAACCAAGCTCCGGCGAACAAACAATGTTGCCGTTTTAGTCAGAAAACGTTTTATATTCTTAAGCATCGTCGAGAAGTCCCGCAATGGACCCTTGAAGATAAGTCGAACGGTGCTAGAGTCGTCCACCGTAGCTGCTGTCGATAGAAGCGGGAAAATTATTAACCAACATAACGCATTTAAACCACTCAGTATAGTGGATTATAATTAACCTCTTAGCACATCAACAACAACAACAATCACAATATAGTAAGGATATCCATGCACCGAAAGGTCCTATATTTTCTATTATCGCCAAAACTCCTTGTGTACCACAATCACACTGGCTAAATCTCATTGATCGCTCGTGGCTGATTCAACGCTCCGTCCTCTGGTAGTGCTGTAGTCTGCTCGGTTACTCCTGGTTGTGCCGCTTCTCACCGTACTAATCTACTATCGCAGCTCTAGTGAGTGTTGGACACCCCAGTATTTTTATGTCAGTATGAATTCAAGCAATCGCTTTGTTTGGTTTTTTGCCCATTTCGCGTGCTAGCTGTTCCTGTAGGTACTTTTAGTCTGCATCAATGCAATGCAATATGCGCCGTAACGGCGCACAGCTGGTTTAATATACCGCGAGAACGCCCACCTCTATGCGGATTCGAACCGGTGAGCTTATGGTTGGAAACTTGGCACGCATACCACTCGGTCACCGGCCGACATCTGTTCTTCGCAAAACAGGTTGTGGCTGATTGGAATAAACTTATTTGCATAACTAGTGTAAAACCATTGAGTACTTTAAACGATACCTGGGCAAGGATTGGTTGGCCCTTTTTCAATGTTTACTTGATAGTTCATGGAATCCTCTAACCACATGCTTGAAGCTTATGGAAGAATCTACTAACAAACAGAATGGCTGGGGTACTGTTTCACTTACTGGCACACGAAACGGGACGCTCGTTAAGCGAAAGCCTGTTTCGACTCTGTCTTACGCAAACCGCTCTGTCTCCTTTTGTATCATATTTCCCTCTCTTGGATCCTTTTTACTGCATCTGAAAGCACCATCGGTTCAACAACTATCCGATTTCCCTCCGCTTCCAGATTGAAATCTGTATGCGGATAACAAGGAACATATACTACCATTAACGGGTGTCCTAAATGCAGCCTGAACGATTAGCATTATGCAAAAACGTATAACAATGGGTTTTGCGGGTACTTGACCGTGGTTATGAGTTTTTTATGTCTTATTTCCGTCCCATATCGTATTGAAATCGTTAGGTAGGAAACGATTGCTTTAAGTCAGGGGAAAATGGGTTACGCATATGCAAAAACCCTGCCTAGCTTTGTACATATCCACATAAAAGCTTGTTTCTTACCTCAATAAGGGTGTTTTGGGAGCTGCAAAGGAGTTCCGTAAGTTTCTTCCATATCAGTACTACCTGAACCGTCTGAGGCAGCAATAAATAGGGATGATGATTAGGGATTGATAGAAATCGGCGTTGGCAACTGCTTCCAAATTTCTTTTGACTGTCCGGTTTTGGTCCGAAATTTTTCTTGTAGCTTTTTCGGATAGAAATCGGACAGTCATCGGATTGAACTAGATCGAAACTCGGTCAATCAACCGACTTTCGTGTTATCAGTACAGGTATGTACAGCAAATAATATATTTGTGCAAGCGTGTCTGACGTCGAGAATAACGCTTTATTTGTTCCCTTACTGACCACCTGATGAGTGTCCGACATCGTTCGCTGGAGTAACCGATGATGCTAATAAGGAATGCGAGACGGACGCTGCAGTTTCTGCTAACTAAACTGGCATTTGCACAAAATATCTGCTGTCTTCTGGGTTATAAAATTATCTGTATCGTGATTTTAGCGGTAACGACATTTCGTGTGTGGTCTCGCAAGTTTTGCTACTAAAGGACGGTTTGGAAACTGTGTTTACAAGATTATCGTGCAAAGACATTTTTGTCTAATTTTGATTAATCCAAATGCCTGGACCATATTTTTGTTAAACGTTGTCTATAGTTTTTCACGGTCAGTCTCTGGCTATTTTTTCTGTAATCCATTTCCCACTCCGTTTTAAACCGTTACTGGGGGCGACGTCATACTCTACTGGAAGGAAAACCTGAAGGTCCATGTAGATGATGTTGTCTTGGGAAGTGATGACTGCTCCGAAGTGTTTTGGTGTCGTATTCATGATGGATGTAGATCTCATTCTCGGTGTCTTCTACAGAGCTCCCCTGAGTTCTGGTGATCGTTTACTGGCCTTTGAAGAAGCATGGGGAAAATAAGGGTTGTTTATTAGTGGGGGACTTTAATGCCCCTAATGTTGATTGGGATCTTCACTGTGATGCTGCACCTGCCTCCTTCGATTCTACCTTTCTGGAAACTGTCCTTGAAAGCACTTTACTTCAACATGTCGCGGCACCTACTCGCATTATCCCTGGTCAGACACCGCACATACTCGATCTTGTGCTTTCGCCTGCACCATCGGATGTTTCTGATTTGAATGTTTTATCCCCAATCGGGAGGAGTGACCACTGTCTACTTTCCTTTCAATGGACCACACGGTTAAGCATTCACAACCACTGTGTCTATCGGCGGAATTCCTGGCGTGCTGATCCATACCGCTTGAAGAAGGCCGCTAGCGAGCAGGATTGGAGTCTCCCTCAGCACTTGGACATCGATGATGCTTGGAGCCTTGTTTACTCAAAAATGTTGTCCCTTATTGATGATGTTCCCATATCCAAACGGAAACCATTTACTAGAGGTCCCCTGGATTGACCGAGAATTGCGATCGCTCATGAATCAAAGACAAACTTTGGAATCGCTATAGGCTTTTGAGATTGGAAACCGATTATAGCAGTTATAAATTGTATGTATGTACCTATGTACCTCGAAACGGCAGCAATACAAAGGTCATCTGGCTGAACATTCCAAGTCTATACCAAAGCTGCTTCTCCTACTTGAAAAGGAGCACCAGAGCCGGAAGTGGAATACCGTTCTTGCATTCCCACGATCTTAACACCGTGCTCCACGACGATGCTGATAAAGCTAATCTTTTAGCTCGCCATTGTTCATCGGTCTATACAACAGAGGTGCCGTCAGTTGATTGTTATTCGTCCTTGCTCTCCATTCTCAGGGATATGGACAAATGTCACTATGGTATACAAACTTTTGTGCGAGTTGGATCCCACCTCTTCACCGGGACCTGATGGTTTGCATCCTCTTTTCCCCAAGATTTTGGCCGAATATATTGCTATTCCTATCTGCCACGTATTTCGGTGCTCACTTGAGGCCGGGCGTCTTCTGCTTGCCTGGAAAGTAGGCATAGTCAAGCCCATATACAAAGGAGAAAATCGACAAGATCCTACGAATTATCGGTCCATTTGTCTAACATCTGTCGTCTGCAAGGTTATGTGGAGGATTCTTAGGCGAGCTCTCAACCTTCACTTCCAGAACCTCAAGATCATTTCAGCTGCGCAGCATGGGTTTTGTCTTTCGCGTTCATGTGTCACCAATCTTCTGGTAGCTCGAGAAAAGTGGGATAAATCCATGGATGCTGGTAAGCGGCTAGATGTCGTATTTTTGGATTTTAGTAAAACTTTTGGCAAGGTTCCAAACGGAATTTTGCTTAGCAAACTTCGCAGTATTGGTGTTTCAGGAAAAATCCTCTCTTGGCTCACTGATTTCCTGCATGACCGCGCTTTCCATGTGCAAGTAAATGAGGCCCTTCCCTTCCCTGTAAATATGACCAGCGGTGTTTCGCAAGGCTCTTTTCTTGGCCCTGAACTTTTGAAAGTCTTTATTAATGACCTGGCGTCTGTACTACGAGCAGATTGTTTGATTTACGCAGATGATTTAAAGATGGATGGAAGTCTCCTGTCTAGATGAAGCGGATTTACTACAAACAAGGCTCGATTCGCTGCGTGATTGGTCGATCAGGTGTCAATTACCCATGAATCACGATAAATGTTCCGTTCTTCCGATCGGTGCCTCCGAACCATTTGGAATTTATCATATCGGTGGGTTTTTGCTGCGGAACTCTAATCGTGAGAGGGACCTGGGCGTCGTTGACCCCAGACTTAAAATCGACCGAGGATACCTTGAGGAAAGTCACTTCGGCCAACAGGTTGTTTTTCGTCATACGACGATCCTTCTCTCGCTTGACTCCGGAGATCTTCAGGCTCCTGTTTACTTCTCATGTACGTCCGATTCTTGAGTATGGACTGCCCGCTGTTTATCCTCTTTCCAAATTTGAATGCAACTTGATTGAAAAAGTTCAGCGGTGAGGATCTAAATCCGTTCTGGAGTTACGAAACCTGCCTTGCTCGCATCGTCTCCAGTGCCTGAACTTGTTCTCCCTAGCCTACCGTCGAGATCGCGGGGATTTGCTTTTCACACGGCGTATCGTTAGAGAGGAACTTGGGTCGAATTGCAGAATTTCTTTCAGTTCGACTCGGGGTCACCATTGGAAATTGTTTAAACAAAGGAGACTTCGGGTCCGTTGTGACGTCACTCTGTCTACCAGAGTAGTGAACGAATGGAATAATCTACCTGTGTATGTCGTTAATGCGCAGTCGGAGGAATGTTTCGAGCATCAATTGGATTCTTGGATCTTGTTGCTTCTTGTGTCAATGCAGCGGTTCCATTGGTACCGACTTGCAATGTCCACCTTGATCCCTGTGACGAACGGAAGGCGATGGACCTGACAAAGGATTTCTCCTTCTGCTCTCTACATTCCAATGATCCAAGTAATAACACTAGTTATACGCTTTTTCTTCTTCTGCTACCCCATTTGCGTTTATCATGGCGGCTTCACATAATACTGACACTCTTGTGCTTTCCACTGCATTGGACACCGAATCTACCTCAATGTGGCAACATGGCTAGTTGAAACCAGTGCCGAACGGTTCTAGTGTCATCCGGTGCGCTGTATGCAACCGCTGGTACTTCAAGATCTATACTGACATGAATAGTGACCAATACATTATCACGCAAACTAGTGGCAGCCTGCTGTTGTGGTCGCATGCCTGAGCACCCTGCTGTCGCAGATGGGGCATCAAGCAGCATCTGGCTGAGGAACGAGTAGGTGCACTTTGTCCCTTGATCGAAATGTGAGCACTTAGTTCCTCCATTGCTGTCAAGCAAGTAGGTGATAACTGAGTCTGTCTTAATTGCCGTCTGTGCGAATCCGCTTAAAAGACATCATCAGTGCACCAGTATCCCGTACCGACGCTTCGCTACCATTCAACCACCACCGGTCGCTTGAGAGCGGAGGATAAATACAAATTTAAATGGGGTTTCAACAAAAGGAAATTCCCATGGTCGTTCCATCCTGAATGCCGTTGATCCACGTTCGAGTTTGATGTGCAATTGGTCAGTCGTATGTGTCAAATCTGCACGTGCAGTACACGTTGTGGTCAACTAATCAAGACGCACGCGCCCTACGCTAGCAGGCCCAGCTG